TGTGTGGGTGGGTGTGGGTGTGTGTGTGTTGGTGTGTGTGGGTGTGTGTTTGGGTGTGTTGGTGTGTGTGGGCGTGTGTGTGTGTGGGTGTGTGTGTGTGTTGGTGTGTGTTGGTTTGTGTTGGTGTGTGTGTTTGTGTGTGTTGGTGTGTGTGGGTGTGTGTGGGTGTTGGTGTGTGTGTTTGTGTGTGTTTTGGTGTGTGGGTGTGGGTGTGTGTGTTGGTGTGTGTTGGTTTGTGTTGGTGTGTGGGTGTGTGTGTTGGTGTGTTGGTGTGTGGGTGTGTGTGGGTGTGTGTGAGTGTGTGGTTGTAACGGTTAGCACTCTGCGCTATGAACCTGGCGACTCGGGTTCGATTCCCGCTCACGGCCAACACCAGTGACGATTATCTGAACCGGGCCTCCCCTAGGTCGACTCAGCCTCAAATGAGTACATGGTTCGGTGTGTAAACATCGTCACTAGGGAGACAAAGGCGGTCGGGCGTGGTGCTGACCACCCACCCCCTCGTGTACCGTTCCGGCCTTCATAGGTGCTCGCTAACAGCAATTGCCCCTACAGTCTGTTAAGGCTATACGGGGGATCTTTGTGTGTGTGGGTGTATGGGTGTGTGTGTATGTGGGTGGGTGTGTGTGGGTGTGTGTGTGGGTGCATGTGGGTCTTGGTGTGTGTGTTGGTGTGTGTGTGTGTTGGTGTGTGTTTTGGTGTGTGTGTTGGTGTGTGTGTTGGTGTGTGTTTTGGTGTGTGGGTGTGTGTGTTGGTGTGTGTTGGTTTGTGTTGGTGTGGGTGTGTGTGTTTGTGTGGGTGTGTGGGTGTGTGCGGGTGTGTGTGTGTGTGTGGGTGTGTGTGGGTGTGTGTGTGGGTGTGTGTGGGTGTGTGTGGGGGTGGGTGTATGTGAGTGTGTGTGGGTGTGTGTGTGGGTGTGGGTGTTTGTGTGGGTGTGTGTGGGTGTGTATGTGTGGGTGTATGGGTGTGGGTGTATGTGGGTGTGTGTGGGTATTTGTGTGTATGGGTGTGTGTGGGTGTATGGGTGTGGGTGTGCGTGTGTGTGTTGGTGTGTGTGTTTGTGTGTGTGGGTGTGTGTGGGTGTGTGTGTGGGTGTGTGTGGGTGTATGGGTGTGGGTGTATGTGGGTGTGTATGGGTGTGTGTGGGTGGTGTGTGTGTGGGTGTGTGGGTGTGTGTGTGTGTGGGTGGGTGTGGGTGTGTGTGTGTGTGGGTGTGTGTGGGTGTGTGTGTGTGGGTGTATGTGTGTGTGGGTGTGTGTGGTGGTGGAGCGGAGATCGGCTTAATCGGAAGGCGCCGCTCCTCTGTTGCTGCTTCTCCACGGCCCATTAGGAGGCGACTTACGACGCCTTTCACATTTACTGCTGTTTAGCGAAACGCATCGACTGCGTCGCCTTCCCATCGACTCGCATCGACGATTCGACGGCGCCAAAGCGGTCGCTAAAAAAAAACCGTGGAGAAAAAAAATCGTCTCCGTGTCGAGGCCGCACAGCGGGAGGCGTCCCACGTGCTGGCGTGCGGCGCTGGTGACACCCTCCTGGTTATCGCCGACGCTCAATAGGGGGGGGGGGGGGGGGGGGGGTGGGTGCTGTCAATCACGGGAGAACTCAGGGAGTTGTCGGACGCCGTGAGCATTCGCTCAGCCACACTGCGAGGTGACCACTGAGCGGATGGCCAGAGGTTGTCCGCCCTGAGTGGTTGACATCCACCCGTGCTGGACTCCGCCGTGATGTTTGGGGGACCCTGCGGGCAGCGTCCACGGTTGAGGTTCCACGGGGAAACTCGCAGGCGAGGTGGGACGCCGAGGCCCCTTTGCCTGCGGAAAACAACAACAACAACATCATGATCATGAATCATCATCAGTGATCGTCACGGTGATCATCACCACTGCACGGCGCGCGCCGTCACCGCGTGCTCGGCACCCTGCATGCGCGCACGACTCTTCCTCTGTGACTCTTCCTCTGTGACTCTTCCTCTGTGACTCTTCCTCTGTGACTCTTCCTCTGCGACTCTTCCTCTGTGACTCTTCCTCTGTGACTCTTCCTCTGTGACTCTTCCTCTGCGACTCTTCCTCTGTGACTCTTCCTCTGTGACTCTTCCTCTGCGACTCTTCCTCTGTGACTCTTCCTCTGTGACTCTTCCTCTGTGACTCTTCCTCTGTGACTCTTCCTCTGTGGTCTCTCTCTGTGACTCTTCCTCTGTGACTCTTCCTCTGTGACTCTTCCTCTGTGACTCTTCCTCTGTGACTCTTCCTCTGTGACTCTTCCTCTGTGGTCTCTCTCTGTGACTCTTCCTCTGTGACTCTTCCTCTGTGACTCTTTCCTCTGTGACTCTTCCTCTGTGACTCTTCCTCTGTGCTCTCTCTGTGACTCTTCCTCTGTGACTCTTCCTCTGTGACTCTTCCTCTGTGACTCTTCCTCTGTAGCTCTCTGTGACTCTTCCTCTGTGACTCTTCCTCTGTGACTCTTCCTCTGTGACTCTTCCTCTGTGGCTCTTCTTCTG